GGGGCTGCGGCGGAAGCAGGTGCTTGCGGCCCGGAGCAGCCCGACGATGGCACTTTCAGTTTCAGACTCGTGACATTGGTGCCTTTAGCTGCAAGGGGGGTGAGCAGTGCAGCCACGCTCTTTGGTTGCTTCAGTGCAAAAGTAATCATTTCAACAATGCCAGGAACATATAACACTCGGTCCATGACCTCCATCGTAGCCACTGAGTGCTGCTTGCTTGTTTTTACCCACCTTGGCTTGTTGGCGGTGTAAATTCAGTGCGAGTTTAAAGCTGCAGTTCAGTTAACTTAGGTCAGGAAGTCTGTAATGGCTCTTGAAACTGGGCTGGAGAAGGCCACAGAGGAGAACAGAAGATAGCTCTCGGGATAACGCATATTGCCATTCAGTGCTGGATACAGGACAGTTCTCCATCAGACTGTGCGTAAAATCCCGTCTGTCCGTCCTGGCATTGAACTGTGATTTCCCTCACTGCAGAAAATCTATCCCTGATCTACCAAAACGAAAGTGAAAGCACTGAGTAGCTCAGGAAAGTCGAGTGGGAGATAGCATTGGGCTGCATTTTTAGCTGTGGAAGGAGAAAATGAAGTTCCATCAAAGCAGAATACGTTCCTTCTTGGTCAGTAACGTTACCTCAAAATATTCAGCCACTGCACTATGGCAGGAGAAATAATAAACTGATGTTTAGGGCAGGGACAGAGTAATTCAGAAAGTGACAAAGTAACATGGGGTAACACGTCAGTGGATCCAGGATGGCTGTCTTGGTGGCTGTTGTTAACCAGTCCTGGGCAGCAGGGATGAAAGGGCAGGAGGCTGAGAGCAGGGATCACACAGGGATGGGGCCCCTTGCATGGATGATGGAGACTTTTGTGTCTGAACCTCTGCCAGCATGTAGGGAAGACGGCAGAGGAAGAAAGGAAACAGTTATCAGGCCAAGCACAGGGTTTTGGGACAGGGAGCAAGAGCAGCTGGCAGGGAATGGGCTGGAAAAGGCTTCAAGAGTTGTTTCTACGAGAACAGACTGACCCATCTCCTGTTTAATGCATGACTAAGGCAAAGTAATTTGAGCAACTTAGCTCTCTTTCATTGCAACCACGATGTTGTTCTCCATTCTGGACGGTTCTTGGATTTAAAATGAAAAAAAAGCACACACACACACACACACACACAAAGTCTCCAGGAGTTCCCTCTTTCTGCATAGTTCACTTCCTAAAAGACAGCCAAAGTACCAAGTGCCAAAGCGAAGGAGATGATGTGCAGGCACACCCAGAGAGCAGCCATGCCCCTCAGCAAAGGGGGATGCATCCCATCTGTGGGGAGAAAGCCAGTATGGCTCAGCAGAGGGAATTCAACCTCTCTCACACCCGGTGCTGAGATGTTAAATGTCTGTACGCAGGACCATGAATTCCTGTGTAGCCCATGGTTCTCTACATCTGTTACCTCACAAGGAATTTGGAGTCAGTGAGTCAAGGTAGGTTGCATTCCAGTTAATATCCGGGGTCCCACTGATTGCAGCCCATGTAGGAAACTGCTACAGGACTTTTTTTTGCTACAAATGATGCTGGAGGGGATGCCACTGCCTCCTGTCTGAGAGCGCTCTGCAGCAGAAGAAATGTTCTCATGAGGCTGAGAGCATTTGCAGGGGCAACTAAGATTTGGATGATCATTTGTAAAAGTATTTTGGTACTTTGGAGGAGGGAAATAAAACTGGAACGGATGATAGCAAAGTTCATGGCAGAGCTGGTTCCAAGGCTGTGTCTTCCCTGAGACAGGCAGAGTGGACACTTGAGCTGGATCTAGAGCAGACATCTGCTCTCACTTCCAAAAGCCTACTTCTCCCTGGCATGTAAATGTGACTAGAGGAAATGAGTATCACAGTGAGAGACGGAGACAGCCTTCAGCCCCCTTAGTGACTCTCAGTGACTCTTTCTTTATAGAAAAATTATATGGACTTAAATTCCAAATAAATTATGCTAAAAAAAAAAAAGAGAACTTGTTAAATCTTCATTCTACTAGTTTCTATGAACACTTCCACCATTTAACAGTTGTATGTTGCTATAGCTGATCCTAAGTCAGCACAACTCTGAAGTAATGTTAGGAATCAAAAAAAGGTACCTGCTGCCTTTGTGAATGCAAACTCTGGTGGTTTATGCCTCTTTCTAGTACGGTCACTGCTGTTTCACCTCTGCTTAGGTGAGAGGCACTATTTAAGAATCTTAGACAAAGCCTGGTTTCTCAGTTGCGTGTCTCACATTAGTGTGTGTTTAATGCTATTAACAGTAACATCCTTCTTAAATCCTGAATTCAGTTCCTGGAGGCTTTTCCTTCCTGCTTTCGTTCCCATTTATCCAGCTCTCCTTCCTGTGACTGGCAGCAGACACTCCCCAGGAAGCAAATCTTGGCATTGTGCCATGTCCTGCTCATCTTCCAGCCCAATGTTTCCTCCATGCCCCAGGTGGCTGGCAAAACAGCCCTTGCAGCCTACCCTGCTACAGCCCTGCAGAAAACCCCTTGCAAATTCAACCTGGAGCTGAAAGGCAAGGTGGGCTTTTTCTGCCTAGTCTCTTCTCTTCAATAAAGGCATGAATGAGAATGTTGTCCAGCATTTCTGGTGAAGCTGCATGAGCCAGGGCATGCTAAGCACAGGCTGCCCCTCCTAGCTTAATCGAAACAAAAAGCAATCCTACCTTAGCCACAGAAGCTGGCAAGAGCTCTTTCCAGCCTCAAAAGCTTTGCTGGTTTTGAGCTTGAATTTCTCTGTTTGAGCTTCCAGTTTTTCAGTAGCAGCTTTAGAGGTTTCCTGCATTTCACAAGGGCATTTGCTAACAATGAATGCCTCCAATAAGCTGTCTGTTGACTTGTTGACATTTAAAATGTATTTTGTTTTTCTTGCTCCCTCGGCTGCAGTAAGTTAGTTCATTTGGAATTACAATGACAGCACAGTAGGACTTGATTTGTCTTTTGCTTGCATAAAATTTAGTTGAAATTTGTGTGAATCCTAAAAGACAAGGTGTTTGAATGAGATGAAGTAAAATGTATTTTTTTTAAATAAAAGGAAGTTAGAATTCTCTTTTCTTTCTCAGCCTCAAAGATGTAGAAAATCTTGGAAGGGAAATTCATTGGCTTCTGAAGGAATTTTAAAATTAAAACCTCTTCGCCCCTCTAATGAGGGAGGTTTTCAGAGGAAACAAGCCATCTGTGTTCACATTCCCGATGACGGTCCAGCAGTCTCCTTCCAGGAACACTGGAGCGCCCTGGCCCGGCCCAGCCTGCGTCGCAGCACAGACAGAGGCCCTGCAGCAGGAGCCTGTGGCGCGGGGCTTGGAGGCTGTGACCCCCGAAGCTGTGGTTCTGCTGCCGTGGGACAACAGCTGGAGCAAGGGGTGCAGGAGGACACTGTGTTGAGGCGTAATGCAGGGAGGAAATGAAGCACAGCAGGCTTTTATGGAGACTGGGGAAAGGGACATGCAAATGTGACGTAGGGGCATGTCTTAATTAGCTGTTCTTGGGCCAAATGAAAGAAACCTCGCAGGTGAGCAGGACTGCAGGGGCCCACATTGATAAATTTCACAGAAGTGCCCAGCCTTGGGTATGACAGCAAGAGGGTTTCCTTCTCCCAGGAAAAATCTCTGCTGTGGGGGGCCAGGCCTGAGGTGAAGATGCAGGCTTGACTCTGGGAGAGGACCAGTCCTGGGCGGGGGTGCAGGCCCTGCGCTGGGAGAATCTAACTGGGTATGGAAATCAACAGGCCTTAACATCTGTCGAGAGCTACTGATGCGTACCGAGAGCAATGGGTATCTCTGGATGTCATGCCTGAGCGATGTGTATCAAAATCAATACTCGTCAAGGCCCGCCAATGTCAATAGTCATCACTGCCTGCCAAGAGCAACATCAGCCCGAGACCCAAAGGTATGCAGGCATGTCGGGAACTAGAGGTATCGGTGCCGATCAATAACGTTCAGTATTGATAGATACTGCCCCCTGCCAGTTACTACACCCCCAAGCCACTTATTACAGCCCCCTGCAAGTTATTACGCCACTTCTAGACATATCATGTCCTCCCCTCATGTATCGCGCCTC